ATCTCTTCCTCCTCGTTACTGCTTACATCCATGGTAGAATATGATGATACTATCCAAAATGATGCCTGATAACTGGAACTTAATCGAAAGCTCAGCACAGAATCGGCTGAAGTCCAAAATTAGATAATTAATAAGACGGATGTTACAATCACAGTCACAAATGTAAATTTACTAAACGACCTGCAGCTTCTGGACTCGGAGAAATTGAGAAACCCCAATTGAAAACGGTTCTAGGGTTCTAGCAGCTTTTGCCCCAAACATCAAAACTCGGGATTTATAGGTGAGATCTGCAGTAACAATGGAGCCGTAAAAATAACGCAGTCATGAAATAGAAAGTTGATAAATGATATAGGAAATTAGGAATAGCGTTACCCCAGCTGTTTGGAAGACAGTAGTTTTAGCCATTTTTTTCCTCTTTCTTTTTCCTCTGTGCTTCGTCGTGCGACTGTAAATGTCCATCAAATCATGTTGTTCACCTAAAGAGACATCAACACTATCGGTTTTGCAATGAAGTCAACAGTTGCTCTATAGCCAACCTCCTATATATAACAAATAAACTTACCACACAACAAATAAACTTATCATATTTATAAAGATAATGCCCAAAAGATTTTATAAAGAGTAATTCAAATTTTTATAAAATAATTATAGGACTTCTATACTCTTAAATTCCATTTTGGGAAAAATTATAAAAATTCATAAAAAAAGCCTAAAAATACACCTGTTATAAATCTTTGGAAAATGAGTCAGACAAATACCCCTTTTTGGGGAAATATTAAAAAAAATCGAGATAATCAAGAACTAATTTTTGAAAAACTTGAAAAAAAAAAGAGTGATATCGTATTTCTTGATACTTGTTGAAATTATTGGTATTTCTAATAAATAATTTTGCTTACGAATAATTCATTTTGTTTATTTTATATTTAAAAAAAAGCTAATTATATTACAAATAGCTAGGTTGAAGTTTGACGCACTTTAGCCAAACATTTATGAAGTTGAAGTTTTATACTTAAAGGACTTGATTGATCACAAACAAAGAAGAAAATGCGTCTGAAGCTGGGGAGGAAGAAGACGATGCATCTAAAGCTTTTACTTTTGCTCATATTGTCCAATCCAATCCACCACAGCCTCAAGTTTGGAGGTTGAAAAGATTGCAAACATAATGAAGTGAAGAAAGTAGGAAAGGATGATATATGAATATTTTTTAGCAAATGGAGATGAAGATGAACATTTTCTTTGAAAGAATCAAAAGTGTGTAGTTTTCCATCTAAAGACAGTCCATCTACTCGTGCTACTTATGAGGGGACAAATGTTGATCCAGATATTGAGAAGAAGAATAATGTGCGGGATACAGAGACCTCTGGAAAAAAATACATTGCACTGAATGTGTTAAATGTATTTTTAAAATTAAATGCATAATATTCATATAAATTAGTTAATTATTATTTAAATTTAATGCAACAAGCTATTGTAATATATTATTTTAGATAATGGTATATTTTAATATAAATACAACATATTATTGACTTAGTTAATATTTTTTTCTCACTTGCAGACATGATTAATTTACTATCACCCAAAGTTATTTATGTGAGAAAGAATCATAAACCCATCCCCGAGAATTACATGGATTAAATGGTTAAACTTCGTGATGACGTGGGCTTCGAGACGACTGCCAAAGGTGATGTTGTCTTGGTTGAAAACTATCTTTCTGAGGAGAATGTCTCACCAATAATATCTGATAAGAATAACAATGTATTTCATACAGGTATGTAAAATCTAATTGTAATTATACATAATTGGATAGTGCATTCTTGTAAACAAATGATTGATTGTTTTGTTACTTATTGTAGGTGTTGTGACCAACCCATCATCAACCACTATTGTGTTTCTAAAATAGGCAACTCTCGACAACTATGAAGATCAAGAAACACACATTGGACTTGGATAATCTTTTGAAAACCGTTGACATTGAAGATGATGCACTAGAGTCTTCTAAGGGAGGAAGGTACTGAAAGAAAAGAAGTGTCTCCATTCTAGTTACTCTATAGAGGAATCCTGAAAAAAATAATAAAATTTTCAAATGTCAAGGAGTACAACCCTTTTAGGCAAGCTGATCCGGCTAAACATGAAGATCTCAGTATGTGGTTATCGAGCTCCCTTGAAAGGTGCATTTGTGCTAAGTTAGTTACGAGCTATTTATTATAATATATAAGGGTGTCTTTGTTTAATGTATTGATTCTTCATGCAGTGTTGAAGTTGGGTTATCTTGGGGTAAAACACGAAAAATATTTTTTTTTATAATATTATGAACGGTTAGTAGCTTTCCAGTGAGGTAAACTATTTACAAAAATTTATTCGATATTTTACTCATCTAAACATGATATTTACTAATCTAATAAACATTGTACTCTTAGCATGTAGATGCAACCTTTTTTCATATTCGAGGGTGTTATAGCCTTTCCTCTCTTGTTTAAACAAGATTGTGTCATCTTGGACTCATATTTTGTGACTTATGAAAGAATGTGCTTTAGACGGAGGTCAAAGACTCGAATATTGGATACTGAAAAATTTCCAAAGGTCTTAGAGAATTTCGTGAACGGTATCATACCCATTCATGAACAATTGTGGACTTGTTGTACTAAATTGTATGTTTTTTGTTGCAATGGGATCATGGACCATTGTCTAGCACTCGATATTGATCTTTTTGGAAAGTGCATTTACGCGTATGAAAGTTTAAGAAGTGCTATACGGAAGGCATATTTTGACAAGGAAGTAGTAAGGAACGGGAGCCCATCATTTTGTGATGCTGATGCTAAAGAGGATGGTGAAAAGGGATGCTAATTACAGTGTAGAAAAGTTTAATTTGAAACGGTTACAATCTCCAAGCCAAAAAAAATGAGCAGGTATAACATATATTTTGATCCTATCATGTATGTTAGTGTATTATGAAACTTGATAAACTAGTAGATATTGTACATATATATTCCAGGTGCAACTGTGGGATGTTTACAATCAATTTCATCGAGTTTTTCGATGCCATGATGGATGTTAAAGGCATAGATGAAAAGTGATTCATGTGGGCGTGAAAAACTTGCAACCAAGATATTTGCTTCACATTTTGATCATTAGTTTATTTTAGGGATTGAATATTAAATGGCTTGTACGGATGTTTTGGAAATCATGTCCAACTTCATTTGAAAATTCATGTAAAGATAAATATTTTGAAAATTCATCTAAATATTATACTACCTCCTATTTTTAATATATGTCGTTTTGAGAAGTTGCACATGAATTAAGAATATTTTTTTTGTCAATAATAACCTTATTTAATGAAGATAGAGATGAATTTTTGAAGAAAAGTGAAGAGTGAATATGAAAAGACGTAATTTATTTTTTAGCTAAATGATGGTAATAATGGAAAAAGATGTACAAAAGATCCAAAACGACATTTATTTAGTTAATAATTGATAAAGATAGGGACAACTACTAAACCTCACAAAATGATCTATATATCATTATAATAATGGAAAAATATGTACAAAAGATCCAAACGATGTACAAGTGATCTATATATCATTGTATAAATCAGAAAGTGAGTCTCGAACAGGATCAACTACTAAACCTCACAAAATGCGTAAATGTAGTAGGTGTTCAATAATCGGCCATAATCGTGGAAGGTGTGTGGAGAACAACCTCAATGAAGCAAGTTTCTAAGCCTTGGTGTTATATTTTGAATGGTTATAGTTTTTTTATGCGTATTTCATGCAATGAAACAAGTTGTTAAGCTTTGAAGTTATATATTGACTGTTATATTAGTTATGGAAGTGTTTTTCAATGCAGTGATTATTCAAATATTATGGGTATTTAATTCACCTAATGTTGAACAGTCGTTATAGGAATTTTGAAACGATAGTAATCTCCTTATATTGTATTATATAACAAAGATAGAATTGTTATAGTAGTATTTCATCGAGGGCAGAAAGTATAACTATAACGAGTGTACTATCATTATAATGTATTGTATAATGAAGGTAGAATCCTTATAGTAGTATTCATCAACATGGCTAAACATATAACTATAACGAGAGTACTATCGTTATAATGTATTATATAACGAAAGCGGTATCTTTATAGTAGTATTTTATCTAAAGGACCGACATTCTAACCATAAGGAATGTACAATCATTCTAATATATTATATAATACATTAGAATGAAGGTAGAATCGTTATATAACGAAGGTAGAATTGTTATAATAGCATTTCATCAACAGGGCTGAAAATATAACTATTACGAAAGTACATTTGTTCTAATGTAATGTATAACAAGCGTAACCTTGTTATTACCGCCACTGACGCGAACACTGAAAAACCAGTCGATGTAAACGCGCGAGGGACCCTTGTAGGCGCGAGCCTCACGTGACAATCATAACGAGGATACATTCGTTATATAATACAATATAATGAAGGTACTCTCGTTGTAGTTATATTTTTATCCTTATTGATGAAATAATTCGTTATATAATACATTAGAACGGTAACACACTCGTTATAGTTATAATTCTGACCCTTTAGATAAAATACTACTATAACGATACCACATTCATTATATAATACATTAGAACTATACTTTTAACCCTTTAAATGAAATACCACTATAACGACAATGACTTCGTTATATAATGCATTATAAAAATAGTATACTCGTTTGAGCAATTTCTTCATTATGTCTACTTCTAAAACGATACTAGTATCGTTATTGTGTAAAATAAGTTCAGTTATAAGTATTTGGAAACAATAATATGAAAATGGTAATTTTTTTTTTAAACGGTAATTGTTATGTTATGAAAGAAAAATTTATCGCTCAGCTAATCTTATAAACTTAGGAGTGTTTGGGTGATTTATTTATTATGTTTATTGCTAAAACGAAATAAGTATCTTTATTATGTCTATTTTCTAAAACATTTGGGATATACGATTTTTTAAATTACAATTGAAAACATTTTGTACTAAGTAGATTCGTTATCTGATGATTAGTTCAAAATGTTCATAAGAATCTACCTTCATTAGGAAATGTCATAACAACTGTATATTCATTACGTAAAATCAAATACAACTATCAATTGATAATATGGAAAAAAAATGTAAGTGGTACAAATATCATAAAAAATATGTAACTAAAATGCTTATTAATCATAAAAGATATGAAACTAAAATGCTTATCAAGATGAATAACAAAAAACCCTACTATATATATATAGTAGGGTTTGATTGTTCTTCCACCATCAACACATTTGTTTTGCAACAAAAAATACAAGGTTTATGTGAAGAGGAGAAAGTTGGATAAGGGCATTTTAAATATTTATATTGTTTTTTTAATAATATTTTATAAAATAAAAAATAAAAAAAGTTAATAACACAAATAACATAAAAGAAGAAGGGTCATTTAACCTATTCATTCCTTTGACAGGTCACTTAAATAAAGATCACGACTTTACCTCTTGTAGGAATATCCACGATTTCAAGCGTTTCCAGAGGTGTTCTTAGCAAATATTTGTCATTTGTTCCCGCAAAAATAAATCATTCGCATTTTGATAAAGTAGATCACATAAATTAAGACCCGTTCATAATAGAAGAAAGTGAGCTAATGATTCTCCAGTTTCCAGAGATTACAAGCCACATTTTTCAAGTAGTTTCACCTCAAAAGCAATAAGGAGGCCATAAGTAGCAATTCATAATGGGATATTAAGAGATACACACCATTGCCTCCAATGAGGCTCTAGGCGACGTTGATAAATCCTCCGAGAGCTCAAACAGTTGTTGTTCTGAGGTAAATTCTTTCTCGGTTGTAATTACCATTTTCTGCAACCTAGGAGTATTTTTCAGCAGAAATTTCACAAT